CATTAACGGACACAACACCACAGTAGTGATGGTGGTGGTACAGTGAACTACAGTGTGAGCACATCACCACAGTTGTGATGGTGGTACAGTGAACTAGTGGCAGCACAACACCAACAGCATTGATGGTGGTGATACAGTGAACTACAGTGTGAGCACATCACCACAATTGTGATGGTGGGGGTACAGTGAACTAGAGTGGTAGCACAACAGCACAGTAGTGATAGTGCAGTGAACTAGAGTGGCAGCACAACACCACAGTAGTTTTAGTGGTGGTACAGTGAACTAGAGTGGCAGCACAAAACAACAGTAGTGATGGTGGTGGTACAGTGAACTAGGGTGGCAACACAACACCACAGTGGTGATGGTGGTGATACAGTGAACTAGAGTGGCAGCACAACACCACAGTAGTGATGGTACAGTGAACTAGAGTGGCAGCACAGCACTACAATATTGATGGTGGTGGTAGAGTGAACTAGAATGGCAATTCAACACCACAGTAGTGATTGTGGTGGTGAAAATTTTTTGGAGACGATTCCTAACCTATACTTTTTCTCAAGGTCATGTTTTTTATTAATGGATTTAAGTATTCCCTTTGTAAGCAAGGATTGTTTAGCCTTTTAGTTGTGACTTGTTTCGTTAGCATCGGATAGTTGGTGTTATAAAGGCTGAGAGTTTTATGAAGAAAAGATTGCACTGCTAGGTTGATGTCCCCTATGTTACCTAATTCGGACTCCCAGTTGACATTAGCAGAAGCAGCTATAAAATTGCCTATAGCAGTTTCATTGTGCAGCCAAAAGCTTATCTCCCTTGTTTCTAGAGGTGGTTTGTTTATGTTGGTTAGGAGAAATGTGCGGTAATGGTCTGTAGTGCTATCGATGATTATCCCTGAAGTAAGCGGAGAGGTTATGTTGGTCCAGATGTGATCAAGAGCCGTGGGAGTACTATCAGTGATTCTAGTAGGTCTAGTGATTACGGGTATGAGGAAGCAGGAATTCATACAGTTGAGGAAACTAGCAGCAGTAGGGTTATCAGGCTCGCAGAGGTCAACGTTAAAGTCACCAGAAATAATTAAGTGGTTTTTGTTAAGTCTGTTCTCTAGTACAGAATTCGATTTCTAAGGTTAGATTTAAATTCAGTCACGGCAGTGTTAGGAATCCTGTAGACTGAAACAGGCAAATATATACTCTCCATAGGGGTCTCTAGATTTAATTACTTTTAAGGAAGTCAGTTCTTGGTGGTGGTAAAGAGAAGTACCAACACCTCTTTGTATAGGACGACAGTTGTGAATAGCTGAGTAGTTAGGTATGCTTGGTCTGGGCCCAGACCCATGCTTGGAGTAGCTGGTATGCTTGGAGTAGCTGGTATGCTTGGAGTAGCTTTACCTGGGCCCAATGTAGTGTCCCCTCCCTCGCAACGTCAGGTACCACAGTTCTACAGGTGAAAATGTGCCTCCCCAAATATCCAGGAGTCAAAATGGAAGATGTTCATAAGACTAATCAAGAATGGCAAAAGGTTGGCGGGAAATGACAATTAGAAAGGAGAAGAGGTGAGGAAGGCAAAACATAACATGAGGAAGAGGAAATAGCATCCAGCATAAGTGAAGATGGCAGAAAAACTGTCCCATGGAGCATCACACCCTGGCAGCTGCCCACCAAGCCCCTTCATGATGACAACGGGCTGGAAAGGGGAGGGGGGGGGGGGTAAGCAGGAGCATAAGGCTTCATAAGGACAGAGGAAATGCTGTCCCATGGAGCATCACACTCTGACAGCAGCCCAATAAGCCTCTTCACGTCAACAATGGGCTGTAAAGTGAGGGGGTGACAGTAGGAGACCAACTCCGCCGTCATCCGGAGTTAAACCCAAAACTACTGCAGCAGTCAACTACTGCAAAGTAAAAAAGCAGTACAGGGGCTATGCTGACCCAAACCAACACCGCTGCAACCCTACCAACAGCCATGTTAACTTTGCCTCAGGGAAGAAAGGAAACAACTAGTCAGCGGGCTGTTTTATGAGGATTCCCGGAAAACCTTTGTCACACAGAGGGCGGCAGAACAAATGAAATTCAAACCAGTGATGCAGGTCACCCTGAATATATTTAGGTTTTTATCCAACAGTGGACCTAAACCCTACACGCAGTCAATCCCTACGTTCCCTTGGGTGGTTACGTCAGTTCTGTATTCTCTATAGTCGTGGACACAATCTCATCTGACCTTCATGTGCTAGACCTAGGGATCACAATTTAACCTTTAAAACAGCACCGAGTCAAATTAGCTGACCCATGAAACAAATCTGACCATATCAAAGATACAGGAGTGTTAATTGGGTCAGATTATTATAAATTCATCTCCGGCAAACACCAATTGCGCGGGATGACCGTACTGAACTCTGCAGGTGGAAAGTCCCATTGTGTAAAGAGAACTAGAATGGTGGAGATGTGATTATTTTCACCTTTTTTAAGCTAGATCTTTCCTTCTAACCCCCTATCCCCCCACTCCCACAGAATATGAACTGAGACGTGATTCATGGATATTTACACCTGCAAAGGTTTCGGAAAAGTGGAGGAAAAGGTTAACGACGTAGTACAAAGGTTCACAGGACACCCACCCCCACCAACATACTCAGCGGAATACCAGTGCCTGCAGGAGGAAGGGGTTGAGCCTGTTAACGTGCTCAGTACAAAGGTGCTCATAATTACAAAAACAGTGTGTAAACAGGAGGCTGGGTTAATATATTTGGAGGACAGTGTGAAGCATAGACTGTTACTGGGTCTCAGCCAGCAAGGGAGGCGCCACGGTGCCAGATGCATCAGTGTGAACATTGCCCCAACATCCTAGTGGAGTGTTTAAGGCACTCAACAACGGGTCGTTAGTAGTGTCTCCTATGACCAACTGCTCATACCTTTCCATGCATATAATATTCTTTTGTCTTGGTGTCGAGAGTGGCTAATCTTAATTACCTCAGGGAATGTTATTGATGAACAATCGTCAAGGGACTTACCAATATTAGACATATACTGCATGTGCAAGTTAGTGTACCCATTTATTGTTGTCCATTATGTGGAGTGTTTGACCATATGTTGATTTATTGGGAACTATTTTTGTTCAGGAAGTGAAGGTTATGTGGCGAAGATATTAATATAAAGCACATGAGCACATTAGATGTATGTACATCTATCCAACCCGTTCTCGCACTTTCTTACAGTCAATATTGACTTATTAAATAAGTGTATATGTGACATACTAATTGTGAATATTTTAGTTTACCTTGAAAAGCTTCATAGAAAACACCGACCTTACCTAACCTTCTTAGTATGTTAAGATAAGCATCTTATTGCTTCGTAATTACAACTATTACTTAACCTATACCTATAATAGGTTAAGTAATAATTGTAATTACGAAGCGATAAGATGCTTATCTTAACATACTAAGAAGGTTAGGTAAGGTCGTTGTTTTCTATGAAGCTTTTCAAGGTAAACTAAAATAGTCACAATGAATTAGTATGTCACATATACACTTATTTAATAAGTCAATATTGACTATACGAAAGTGCGAGAACGGGTTGATCTATCATACATCGGCCAGGGAGTGAATGTCATGTTGTGAAGATATTGAGCACATGAGCACATAAGATATATGTACAGTTTTGCCAAAGATTCACTTCAGTTACAGAGGAGACAGTCACATGTGATATAAGCCAATTAACAACATGTTTGTGACGTACTCAACTAATTGTGTTTGCAAGGGTTGAGCTTTGTCTCTTTGGTCCCACCTCTCAGCTGTCAATACACTGGTGTAAAGATTCCTGAGCTTACTGGGCTCATCATATGAAAACGAAAACGAAATTACTGGGCTCATCATATGAAAACGAAAACTGCCCGAAACGCTTTGTGTAATAGTGGCTTTAGGCATTGTATGTACTAGCTCTATCTATAAAGCCAACAAACTTTGTAAAATCTCTTTATGTATGTACCTTACCTAAATAAAAATTATTATTATTATTATTATTATTATTATTATTATTATTATTATTATTATTATTATTATATCTACATTATAAACTGTGTATGGAGTCAGCCTCCACCACATCCCTTCCTCCGAGCATTCCATTTATTAACTATTCTGACATTGAAAAAATTCTTTCTAACGTCTCTGTGGCTCATCTGGGTATTAAGTTTCCACCTGTGTCCCCTTGTTCGTGTCCCACCCGTGCTGAAGAGTTTGTCTTTGTCCACCCTGTCAATTCCCCTGAGAATTTTGTAGGAGGTTATCATGTCTCCCCTTACTCCTCTGTTTTCCAGGGACGTGAGGTTCAGCTCCTTTAGCCTTTCCTTTTAGCTCATTCCTCTCAGTTCCGGGACAAGCCTGGTGGCATACTGCTGAATCTTCTCTAACTTTGTCTTGTGTTTAACTAGGTATGGACTCCAGGCTGGCGCTGCATATTCCAAGACTTGTCTGACATAAGTTGTATACAGAGTCCTGAACGATTCCTTACACAAGTTTCTAAAGGCAGTTAATATGTTGGCCAGTCTAGCATATACCGCTGATGATATCCTTTTGATGTGGGCCTCTGGGGACAGGTTCGGTGTGATATCAACCTCCAGATCTTTCTCTCAATTTGACTCTTGCAGGATTTCACCTCCCAAGTAGTACCTTGTGTTCAGCCTCCTGCTCCCTTCGCCTAATTTCATTACTTTACACTTTACACATGCACTTTGGCAAAGTGCATGTGGGTAATCACATGTTAGTGTCATTACTCTCTGTGTATTAAAAGAGGAGCATCAGAGGTAGAACATTCCTAGATGACAGCCAGAGTGCATTGGGGGGTGGATTGTGTGAAAATCCCCCAGAGTGCATGGGGGGAAGAGTGTGTGAAAATCCCCCCAGAGTGCATGAAATGATTGTGTGAAAATCCCCCAGAGTGAAAGGGGGGATTGTGTGAAAAATCTCTCAGAGTGCACGGGGAATTATGTGAAAAACCTGGTCCGGCTTCAGTGGAAGCCTCAAGAAATCCTTGTGTGCTCAGCAGAACTCCACGTTGTAATACTTTTCCCATGTCGTGGCTTGATTGTCTGGGGCGTGTGCATTGGACTACCAAACACATGGGTTGTTAGTGTGATTACTCGCTGTGAATCAAATTAGTATTGGTGAAGAGTGCTAAACATGCCCTCATACTGATTTTTTTTAGGATTACACTAATTTGTTAGTCGTCATCTGTGTATGAACCTTCATTTATAATTATAGGTCCAATACTGGAGAAGATTTTTATTACAATTTCACATACTTGAAGAAATATATTCGAGTGTTCTTTATCTCTTGAGTGGCTTTCTGTTCTAATTTACAAGGCTTTACGAGAATGTAAAAATATCATTGCTATGTACTCTCATCAACCCAATGTACTTTCTTGTATATAAATAAATAAATAAATTGCATTGCTTCAATCGTTAATGGTTGGTGCACGTATGGTTGATGTGAGGACTCACCAGGTGACTCTCTGGGCGTTACTGGCATCAATGAAGTTCCAAGAACAGAACTTTCTTTCCTTTACAGTTGAGGGGAGGAACCAGTGGAGCTGGAGGTGCCCAAAGCCTCACAGGGTCGAAGACGACCCAAAGTGGACCTCTGGGCTCATATTGCTGCTCAGCAACGACAACAGTGATTCTTGTTGACACTCCCAAGTTGGATGAGGAGGAACTAAGAAATAATCCCCCACCCAACACCCATACGGTAACATCACAACACACCATGGACCAGTATGGTAATATCACAACACACCATGGACCAGTATGGTAATATCACAACACACCATGGACCAGTATGGTAATATCACAACACACCATGGACCAGTATGGTAATATCACAACACACCATGGACCAGTATGGTAATACCACAACACACCAGGGACCAGTATGGTAATATCACAACACACCATGGACCAGTATGGTAATATCACAACACACCATGGACCAGTATGGTAATATCACAACACACCATGGACCAGTATGGTAATATCACAACACACCATGGACCAGTATGGTAATATCACAACACACCATTGACCAGTATGGTAATATCACAACACACCATGGACCAGTATGGTAATATCACAATACACCATGGACCAGTATGATAATACCACAATACACCATGGACCAGTACGGTAATACCACAACACACCATGGACCAGTACGGTAATATCACAACACACCATGGCCCAGTTTGGTAATACCACAACACACCATGGCCCAGTATGGTAATACCACAATACACCATGGACCAGTATGATAATACCACAACACACCATGGACCAGTATGGTAATATCACAACACACCATGGACCAGTATGGTAATATCATGGACCAGTATGATAATACCACAATACACCATGGACCAGTACGGTAATACCACAACACACCATGGACCAGTATGGTAATACCACAACACACCATGGACCAGTATGGTAATATCACAACACACCATGGCCCAGTTTGGTAATACCACAACACACCATGGACCAGTATGGTAATATCACAACACACCATGGACCAGTATGGTAATATCACAACACACCATGGACCAGTACGGTAATACCACAACACACCATGGCCCAGTTTCGTAATACCACAACACACCATGGCCCAGTATGGTAACAGTCAGGGAAACTATCAACAAACAGTTACAAAACATAACTGACATTGCTATTACAATTAACATATAATTAGCAGTGTTTAGCAGTAGGTAGGTAATTATCAGGGGAAAGCGCCAAGCCATTATGACTATATAGCACAGGGAAGGGGGTCAGAATAAGGATTTGGGGTGGGACATGAGACGAAATGGGGCCCAACCACTTGTACGGTCGGGGATTGAACGCCGATCTGCATGAAGCGAAACCGTCGCTCTACCGTCCAGCCCAAGTGATTGGCAAAAATATTATTTACAGAATAACAAGCACCGACCAATTTACAACTGTATAGTAACACTATGGATAATGAAATAATATATATTATATTATATTGCTATATTTTGGTGTAAAATATATACACGGCAACTTATCCACAGCTAAGTTTTGTTACTCAACTTGGTCAGTGTCAGACCCTATGTGTGGGACCTGAGTGATAGTGAGGTGATGGTGATATAGCAGTGATAGTGTGGTGATAGTGATATAACAATGATAGTGAGGTGATGGTGATATAGCAGTGATAGTGATATAACAATGATAGTGAGGTGATGGTGATATAGCAATGATAGTGAGGTGATGGTGATATAGCAGTGATAGTGTGGTGATAGTGATATAGCAATGATAGTGAGGTGATGGTGATATAGCAGTGATAGTGATATAACAATGATAGTGAGGTGATGGTGATATAGCAGTGATAGTGATATAGCAATGATAGTGAGGTGATGGTGATATATCAGTGATAGTGAGGTGATGGTGATATATCAGTGATGGTGTGGTAATTGTGATATAGCAGTGATGGTGATATAGCAGTGATAGTGAGGTGATGATGATATAGCAGTGATTGTGAGGTGATGGTGATATAGCAGTGATAGTGTGGTGGTGATGGTGATATAGCAATGATAGTGAGGTGATGGTGATATTACAGTGAAAGTGTGGTGATTGTGATATAGCAGTGATGGTGATATAGCAGTGATAGTGAGGTGATGATGATATAGCATTGATAGTGAGGTGATGGTGATATAGCAGTGATAGTGTGGTGATGGCTGCAGAGCAGTGAAAATGTGATGGTGATGTAGCAGTGATAGTGAGGTGATAGTAATATAGCAGTGATAGTGAGGTGATAATAGTGTGGTGATGGTGATATAACAGTGATAGTGAGATAGCAGTAATAGTGAGCTGATGGTGATATAGCAGTTATAGTGAGATGATGGTGATATAGCAGTAATAGTGAGATATTAGTGATAGTGGGGGTGATGGTGATATAGCAGTGATAGTGAGGTGATAGCGATATAGCAGTGATAGTGAGCTGATGTTGATATAGCAGTGATAGTGAGGTGATGGTGATATAAAAGTTATAGTGTGATATCAGTGATAGTGTGATGAAGGTGATAGGGTAGTGATAGTGAGGTGATGGTAATTTGATGTGAGATGATGGTTGGCAGCACAACACCACACTAGTGATGGTGATAATAGAACAGTGAACTAGAGTGGCAGTACAACACCACAGTAGTAATGGTGGTGGTACAGTGAACTAGAGTGGCAGCACAACACCATAGTTTTGATGGTGGTGGTACAGTGAACTACGGTGGCAGCACAACACCAATAGTAGTGATGGTGGTGGTACAGTGAACTACAGTGGCAGTACAACACCACAGTAGTAATGGTGGTGGTACAGTGAACTAGAGTGGCAGCACAACACCACAGTAGTGATGGTGGTGGTACAGTGAACTACAGTGGCAGCACAACACCACAGTAGTAATGGTGGTGGTACAGTGAACTAGAGTGGCAGCACAACACCACAGTAGTAATGGTGGTGGTACAGTGAACTAGAGTGGCAGCACAACACCACAGTAGTAATGGTGGTGGTACAGTGAACTAGAGTGGCAGTACAACACCACAGTAGTAATGGTGGTGGTACAGTGAACTAGAGTGGCAGCACAACACCACAGTAGTAATGGTGGTGGTACAGTGAACTAGAGTGGCAGCACAACACCACAGTAGTAATGGTGGTGGTACAGTGAACTAGAGTGGCAGCACAACACCACAGTAGTGATGGTGATGGTACAATGAACTAGAGTTGCAGCACAACATCACAGTAGTGATGGTGGTGGTACAGTGAACTAGAGTGACAGCACAACACCATAGTTTTGATGGTGGTGGTACAGTGAACTACGGTGGCAGCACAACACCAATAGTAGTGATGGTGGTGGTACAGTGAACTAGAGTGGCAGCACAACACCACAGTAGTGATGGTGATGGTACAATGAACTAGAGTTGCAGCACAACATCACAGTAGTGATGGTGATGGTACAATGAACTAGAGTTGCAGCACAACATCACAGTAGTGATGGTGGTGGTACAGTGAACTAGAGTGACAGCACAACACCGCAGTCCACCACAGTCACCTCCGTAATGTCTCTGTGGTTGACTGCTGCCCTCACCACATCCAGGCCGCTCACCACATCACCGAAGATATTTAACCACTGGCCACCACCATGGAGGTCCCTGGTGGTGATGGTGAACTGGGCACTCCTGGAACCCCCCGGAACACCCCTGGCCAACACAGCTCCTGCCCGGCCTGACCCCCGGTACTGCCCCTGGAGGTAAGGCAGCAGTGCGGCTCCTCCCTCACCATCATTACTCTCGTAGTCTCCACCCACCACACACTCCCCCGGCTCACCCTTGTCCCCCACCCACAACAGTTTAGTGTTGCGGTAGGTGTGGCCCCGCTGGCCCGTACACAACAACACAAACTGTGTGGCCAGCGGAGTGTCAGGAGTCAGCCGGATGGTGACCCGCCCTCTTGTTGACCCCGCCCACCCGAGGTCAAGGAACGCCAGGGTGCAGGAGGGGTCCAGCACGCCCACAACCTCACTCTCCTGCAGAAAATTAAATAAATCATGCTGATAACTGTATAACAAAATGTTATCATATTAGTTATCATAACTCAGTAAGTCAGTAATGTCAATAAGACTAGTGGGTGTAAGGTAACCTGGAGGGTGTGGGCGTGGGAGGGCGTGGGCTGACGCATGAGTGGGTGGAGGAAAAGCTGTCCCTCTTGTAGAGTTATTCTGGCGAAGCGGCGGCCATATTGGTCTTCCTGGACGGCCAACACCCGGCCAGCCTCCACCAGCCGCTTGACGGGTTCCCTCATCCTGCGGAGGTCCTCAACCTGTGGACAGTGTCAGTCCCATTATCACCTGTGGACAGTGTCAGCCCCATTATCACCTGTGGTCAGTGTCAGCCCCATTATCACCTGTGGTCAGTGTCAGCCCCATTATCACCTGTGGTCAGTGTCAGCCCCATTATCACCTGTGGTCAGTGTCAGCCCCATTATCACCTGTGGTCAGTGTCAGCCCCATTATCACCTGTGCTCATTTGAGCAGGACCTGTAGCTCCAGCTCTCCTCTACTGGCAGGGGGTTGGTGATGGACCTGTAGCTCCAGCTCTCCTCTACTGGCAGGGGGTTGGTGATGGACCTGTAGCTCCAGCTCTCCTCTACTGGCAGTGTCAGGGGTTGGTGATGGACCTGTAGCTCCAGCTCTCCTCTACTGGCAGGGGGTTGGTGATGGACCTGTAGCTCCAGCTCTCCTCTACTGGCAGGGGGTTGGTGATGGACCTGTAGCTCCAGCTCTCCTCTACTGGCAGGGGGTTGGTGATGGACCTGTAGCTCCAGCCCCCCTCCTCTACTGGCAGGGGGTTGGTGATGGACCTGTAGCTCCAGCCCCCTTCTACTGGCAGGGGGTTGGTGATGGACCTGTAGCTCCAGCTCCCCTCTACTGGCAGGGGGTTGGTGATGGACCTGTAGCTCCAGCCCCCTTCTACTGGCAGGGGGTTGGTGATGGACCTGTAGCTCCAGCTCTCCTCTACTGGCAGGGGGTTGGTTATGGACCTGTAGCTCCAGCTCTCCTCTACTGGCAGGGGGTTGGTGATGGACCTGTAGCTCCAGCTCTCCTCTACTGGCAGTGGGTTGGTGATGGACCTGTAGCTCCAGCTCTCCTCTACTGGCAGGGGGTTGGTGATGGACCTGTAGCTCCAGCCCTCCTCTACTGGCAGGGGGTTGGTGATGGACCTGTAGCTCCAGCTCTCCTCTACTGGCAGGGGGTTGGTGATGGACCTGTAGCTCCAGCTCTCCTCTACTGGCAGGGGGTTGGTGATGGACCTGTAGCTCCAGCCCTCCTCTACTGGCAGGGGGTTGGTTATGGACCTGTAGCTCCAGCTCTCCTCTACTGGCAGGGGGTTGGTGATGGACCTGTAGCTCCAGCTCTCCTCTACTGGCAGGGGGTTGGTGATGGACCTGTAGCTCCAGCCCCCCTCTACTGGCAGGGGGTTGGTGCTGGACCTGTAGCTCCAATCCCCCTCTACTGGCAGGGGGTTGGTGCTGTACCTGTAGCTCCAGCCCCCCCTCTACTGGCAGGGGGTTGGTGCGAGACCTGTAGCTCCAGCCCCCCCTCTACTGACAGGGGGGCAGTGCTGAACCTGTAGCTCCAGACCCCCTCTACCAGCAGGGGGTTGGTGCTGGATCTGTAGCTCCAGCTCTCCTCTACTGGCAGGGGGTTGGTGATGGACCTTTAGCTCCAGGCCCACTCTACTGGCAGGGGGTTGGTGCTAGACCTGTAGCTCAAGCCTCCCTCTACTGGCAGGGGGTTGGTGCTGGACCTGTAGCTCTAGCCTTCCCGTCTTCTGGCAGGGGGTCGGTGTTGGACCTGAAGCTCCGGCCCCTCCGCCTCTACCTGCTGGGGGTTGGTGCTTGACCTGCAGCTCCAGCCCCCTTCTACTGGCAGTGAGGGTTGGTGCTGCAACTGTAGCTCCCGCCCCCCTCTACTGGCAGGGGATTCGTGCCGGACCTGTAGCTCCAGCCCCCCTTTACCGGCAGGGGGTTGGTGCTGGACCTGTAGCTCCAGCTCTCCTCTACTGGCAGGGGGTTGGTGATGGACTTTTAGCTCCAGCCCCACTCTACTGGCAGGGGGTTGGTGCTGAACATGTAGCTCCAGCCACCCCCCCCCCCTCTACTGGCAGGGGTTGGTGCTGGACCTGTAGCTCCAGCCCCCCTCTACTGAGGAGGGGTTGGTGCTGGACCTGTAGCTCATGCCCCCCTCTACTGGCAAGGGGGTTGGTGCTGGACCTGTAGCTCAAGCCCCCCTCTACTGGCAAGGGGGTTGGTGCTGGACCTGTAGCTCCAGCCCCCCCTTCTACTGACAGGGGGTTGGTGCTGGACCTGTAGCTCAAGCCCCCCTCTACTGGCAGGGGGGTTGGTGCTGGACCTGTAGCTCAAGCCCCCCTCTACTGGCAAGGGGGTTGGTGCTGAACCTGTAGCTCCAGCCCCCTTATTCTGGCAGGAGGGTTGGTAATGGACCTGTAGCTCCAGCCCCCTCTACTGGCAGTAAGGGTTGGTGCTGCACCTGCCCCCCCCCCTTTACTGGTTGGTGCTGGACCTGTAGCTCCCGCCCCCCTCTACTGGCAGAAGGTTTGTGCTGCATGGACCTGTAGCTCCAGCCCACCTCTACTGGCAGGGGGTTAGTGCTGGACATGTAGCTCCATCCCCCCTCTACTGGCAAGGGGTTGATGGACCTGTAGCTCCAGCCGCCCCCCCCCCTCTACTGGCAAGGGGTTGGTGCTGGACCTGTAGCTCCAACCCTCCTCTACTGGCAGGGGGTTGGTGCTGGACCCGTAGCTCCAGCCCCTCCCCCTCTACCGGCTGGGGGTTGGTGCTTGACCTGTAGCTCCAGCCCCCCCCCCCCTTCTTCTGGCAAGGGGTTGGTGCTGGACCAGTAACTCCAGCCCCCTCCCCCTCTCTACTGGCAGAGGGTTGGTGCCGGACCTGTAGCTCTAGCCCCCCCCCCTCTACTGGCAGGAGGTTGGTGCCGGACCTGTAGCTCTAGCCCCCCCTCTACTGGCAGAAGGTTGGTGCTGGACCTGTAGCTCTAGCCCCCCTCTACTGGCAGGAGGTTGGTGCTGGACCTGTAGCTCCAGCCCCCCTCTACTGGCAGGAGGTTGGTGCTGGACCTGTAGCTCTAGCCCCCCCTCTACTGGCAGGAGGTTGGTGCTGGACATGTAGCTCCAAGCCCCCTCTACTGGTATGGTGTTGGTGCTGGAACTGTAGCTCCAGCCCCCCCTCTACTGGCAGTGGGTTGGTGTTGGACCTGTATCTCCAACCCCCGTTTACTGGCAAGGGGTTGGTGCTGGACCTATAGCTCCAGCCGCCCCCCCCCTCTACTGACACGGGGTTGGTGCTGGACCTGTAGCTCCATCCCCCCTCTACTGGCGGGAGGTTGGTGCTGGACCTGTAGCTCCAGCCCCCCTCCATTGGCAGGGGAGGTTGGTGCTGGACCTGTAGCTACAGCCTCACTCTACTGGCAGGGGGTTGGTGCTGGGCCTGTAGCTCCAGCCCCCCTCTACTTGTAGGAGAGGTTGGTGCTGGACCTGTAGCTCCAGCCCCCCTCTACTGGCAGGGGGTTGGTGCTGGGCCTGTAGCTCCAGCCTCCCTATACTTGCAGGGGATTGGCTCTGGCATTGTTTGGGAGTTTGTAGGCAGTTTCAAGGGTTCAGTCTCTCCGTATCCAGCAGTGGTCTGTTTTGGGTCGCTGTTTTCGTGGATGCTTTCCCGGTAGGTTGGTGGAGTGTCTGCGCCTCTCTGAGGGAGCCAGGATCTAGGGTTCAATAGAGGATTACAAGTTCAATCATCGCCCAGGACAGAAATGGTTTCCATGTTTCCTTTCACCTGATTCTTCCGTTCACCTACCAGTAAATGTTTATCCAGGAGTTAGGAAACTATTGTGTATTGTACATTAAGTCAGTAGTTGACCTTGGGGAATCTCGATAAACCTAAGAACAGCTTTCTCTCTTCAAAACGCTACTCAGTATCTTGTGATATGACCTATGAGAAAAAACTTACTGATAATTGCTTCTGGGGGACCTCTCCAATGATTTCCTGAACTTTATTCATGATGCTGGAGGCTGAGCCTCCCAGGCGTACGGGGTCAGCTGTGGCACCTGTCTCTGTGGTCATCATCTCCAGGGCCTCCCTGATGGTCTCCTGCACCTGTCATTACCAACACAAACATTAATGGTGGAGGCTGCACTGCCATGAAACATCAGGCTCTGAGTAAAGTAACTGCACTGCAATGAAGCATCAGACTGAATAGGGAAATTTGACAATATAAGTAGTGTTTCTGTACACTGACCACAGTGTAGAGAAAACCAAGATGATAGTTGACTTTAATAATAAAAATGTTTCAGGTGTTAGAGCAAAAAGTTTCCTTATATATAAAGTCTACTCTCATCTTGATGTGTCTCCATGTCAAAAGTGTTTATATAGAGGCAATAACAATGTGAGAAACAATGTGTGTTGGGTGAGAATAATGTGACCTTCAGCAGCGTACCTTCACTGAGGTGTGGACAGTCTTGACATCTGGGAAGAGTTTCTGACACATCTGGAGCCAATCTTCTACCTTCATCTTCCACTCATCAGCTGTGTCTGTGGTTGTGCTAACCTCCTGTAGGGTGTTGACTGTGTCGAGGCTCCCCAACATGGCCTGCAGCTGAGTCTTCCCTTCCTCTCCTTGTGTTGTCATATTCACCACACTGGTATCCTCCAGTTCCAAGAGCATCATTGCTGACTTGTTCTGCTCTACCAGAGCATAGAGTCTGTCCTGGAGTTGGAGGTGGTGAGTCTTCCAGTCCCCCATCTGCCCCTGGTACTCCTCCAGCTGGGACAGTACCTCTTCACAGCTAGTAATAAGGCTGCTGATGATGCTCTTCTGCTCCTGCACCAGTAAGAGGGCCATCGTCTTACTGATGCCTCTGGCGGGACCTTCACAAGGTTTTGCTGGCACTACTTCCTCAGTTGTTAGCTGGATATTTTTTAGTTTCCTAACAAACGCCTCCACAGCATAGCTAATTGGGAGCTGAGTAGCAGCTGTGGCAGCGTGCTGGGCATGGCAGCTGGGGCAGGTCAGCTGACCATTCTTGATACCATTATCAATACACTGGGAACAGAATGTGTGGCCGCACGGCAGATTGCGAGGCCGTAGCTGATTGCCATCATAATCGATAAAACACACTGAACATTCCTCTGGTTTATTATCCTGTGGAAAAAAATATTTGGTTAAACTACATGTAATTAAAACAAAAAGTAATATTATAGTACTGCACAATATTTACCGATATAAATCACATAATATTTTCATAATTTCTTTGTACAGTGGAACCTCGGTATTTGCACTACTCTTAATTCGCACTGCTCTCCAGCCACTTAGGTCGAGGCGCCCAGATAACGATGGAGAGCCGCAACCGTACACAACACATGATGCATCCCCGCCCTGACCAACCAAGCATCAATGACCCAAGGACCCCACCGGAAAGTTGGCGTCTCAATCTCCGCCAGAAAAAGAGATGGCTGCAACCAAACAAACCAACCACCAGGACTGAAACAGCAGAAACTCCTGCTCAGGAGAACATGACGCTCACCAACCCGACCCCCAGAGGCCAATGCCAACAGAAACTGTACCTTGGAAAACAATCTTGAACCGAAGGGGCCACTACAAACCGAGAATAGAGAAAAAGAGAGCATCCGGTCCAAGAACAAGGATGACTCAGCTGGCACATGAGCACGCCGGAGGTGAAACAAAGCACGAGAAGCTAACAGAACGGGGTAGAAATGACATCCACCCTACATGCAAGCTGGAGCGGCTCCGTCAGCGCTGCATGATAAGAGGCGACAGTAATAAGCATCAATTGATGGTCATGGAAAAGCCAAGAAAGAAAGAAAGGACACAACAACCCGAATAGAATAAGAAGATCTTATTCAGGAATCTTCATATTGTCGCGGAGTAGAAGTTTTCAGGTGAGACACCATCAATGAAGCCACCTGATCACCATACAAGTGGTGAAATACACCCACGCCAAAAAGACCAGACACAAAGAGCAGAGGAGTAGACCGAACCAGCCATGTGCCGGACCAGTCCAATCTGCTGAAAGAGGCAGCCGCAGAAAATGTCCAGGGTTCGGACACCGAGCAAGCAGCGCCTGAAACCCAGGCTGGTCTGGCCACCAAGAGGCCACAAGGATGACTCCCCCACAGTAAGACTCCCAGATATCCAAAACCCGAAGCAACAGCTTGACCAGGGGAAGAAGTACAGGGAACCCCCGCCTCAACCAGTTCTGCCACAAGGCGTCCACCGTGACAGCTCTGCAGTGGCGGAAGGGCGCCACATATATCAGGAAACGCCTAGACCACACCGACACGAAGAGGGGCACCTCCGGAAGCCAATACGTTCGGCAGAGCCAACTGAACGAGTTGGCGTCGACTGATCAGGCTGTGGACAGGGAAATAAACCGTCTGCCAGAACGTTGGACATGCCACTGATGTGAATCACACGGAGAGCTAAACCCTGAGAACTCAGCAGAAGAGCCACTCGAAGTGACTAGCTATTACATTGTGGGTCGTAATAATATTACTATGTTGTTGTGGGTCGATAGATTTTCTCTCCCGGACAACCCACCAAACCAAAACCTCTGTAGAGTGCTTACACTTTAATCGGGAGATCACCCTGCATGCTTCTTGCTTTTGGAGAGGGGGTTCAGCATCACATATTTAGAGGATGCGGCTCCAACACAAACCTCGTTGTCATGTGCACACACCCACTTGAGCCACCGTGACTTCCCACTCTCTCCTTGGTTGGTATGATCTCCCCAATCCCCTTTTCTAAATTATTTTTCTGTACTACCCTGTCCACAGCTGTGGTGCTTTCTCTCTCTCTCTCCCTCTCTCTTATTTCCTGGGAAGCCTTACTAGAACAAGGGCAAACACCTGTTCATAACAAACATTTAATAACAACACCTAAAATATATATTAAAGCACTCACATACAATATACAAGTATATAAACCTCGACACCTTATGATATTATAACCTGGTTGCAAACCAATACCAGCAGGACTCTATCAGTTACTTATACCAAGTGGTAGCCCAACTCCTGGCTTGCCACTTATGCTACCAACCTCACCAAGTGAGTTAAACCTTGTAAAACAATTATGGCACTATCAACTTCACCTAGAGGGTAAAACCTTGTAAAACAAATATGGCATTATCAGCCCGAGAACATATATATACATATATCTCTGCAGGTAATCCAGCCTACAGTTGTAATTCAATAAACTTCAGTATAAATATTCCTTGGCATAGAAATGATAATCAATCATCCACCTTTCACTGCATCTTGCACACTAATGGCAATCTACCAACTCCCTACAAGTAGTCAATAAGAACTTCCTTCCCACATCTGGGAGTTGACTACCCTGACATCATCAGGTTCTTCCAGGTTCATCTACCAGGATCCTTTACAGCTCTTCCAGGCTGCTGCACCATGAAGTTTCCCTTGGACTCCAGTGATACTCCACCACTGATTCCACAGAAGCATGTGAGACTTCACTTAAAGCTCCTCTTTACACAGTTCGAGGTCCAATTCCTCACTATGGGGCTTGCTCTTCCACAGAGTACAACATCCACTCTTACAGCCTTGAAGTTCTACTCATTAGCTTCTTCTCTGGCCTCAGGATACTCCCATCAATTCCTTTCTCGGAACAAACCTGCAACCCATCGATACGCTAATAAAAATGTTCCTCTATAAACATATAACTGAAATGAACTACACACAATATATGTATCATCTGACATCTCCCTATTTCCCGATCACCAAAGTGACTCCCCCACATTTGGGCGGTTCCATCCTCCACCCTGCCGACAGGCTTCTGCTCTCTAGGCAGCTGGCGGCCGGCCCCCCGCTCCTCTCCTCAGCTGGTTCCCTCATCTTAATTTTCTTATTTAGGCCTTCTGCATTATCAAAAAATGCCTAACATATCAATAAACACTTGCTACGGTCGATGAGCACACGACCAACTGCAGACAATCACTGTTAACTGGTTAAAATTGGCTTACCACAGAATTTGGTTCGCTTGCAGTGCTCACTGATGGGCGGTGACACTCAGAGCGCTTCAGGCTACCCACAGAACTGCTTTAACTGCTCCACAACACCTTCTGCAGTTCATGACTCGAGCTGGCACGTCTGCAGACTTATTACTCAGTCGAAACGTCTGCCCACTTCCTTCCTCATGAAGGTATATCAAACGGGTTCTTCTTCACCAGAGGCTCAAACTGAGTACGCCCTCCCTTCACGATCTCTTCAGCTCAAGTGAGCTCAAGGTCCTCTGAAGGGAGCCTCACTCCACCAGCAAACTCTCCACCTCTCATGGCCAATCATTTATTTATATTCTTGTTCACTGCCCATACTTGCAAACTATCTGTCAAATTTAACCCAGTGTTTAACATATATTTATATTCAGGTCTATATCTCCTTGACCTCTTAGTTAGGTCAGGTCTTGCAGAATAACTCTCAAGGGGAGACTCGTTTCTCCTGCAGGCTGAGATCATAACACAGCCCCAAAGAGCCAAGGACAGAAGAGACCCCCCACCTCCCCTGCGGTTCAGACAATGAACCACCGAGGCGCAGTCCAAATGGGAGCTGGATCGCAAAACATCGAACGAGTGGAATCCACTGAAGCCAGAGCCACACCACCTCAAACTCCCGCGCCGTGCTGTGAGCCCAACAGAAAAATGGAGCCCACCCCCCCTGGCTGGCTTGGTGAGTACTATTCACAAAGCTGCAGCTGAGAGACAAGGCGTCTGTGTACACATCGAGCGAGGGGTTCAGGAAGGTGCCACAGCACCGAACCGCGAAAACCCCAAAGAGGAAGTCGGTGACGTAGCAACACTGATCACTGATGAACGAAAACATCGTTCAGTGAAAGCCTACCAGCCATTCAGAAAGAGTGGGAAACGAACAACAATAATTCTAATAGGCCAAGGGCGGAGACTACAGTCAGGGAGGAAACTGAAGCAGAAACTCAGGAAGTTGTAAACTGTAAGGATGCAGATGACAGTAGACTAGAAAGAATAACAGACAGCACTGATGGCTCGACGGGTACAGACACTACAACGGTCCCCGATAGAGCGAGTCAGACCAGAAGGACAGACATATGCAAATTTAATGTAAAGGGCATATGCAGAGATAGATATGCAGGTAATAAGAGAGGATTAGAATGCAGTTACCAACATCCCAAAAAGTGTTTAAATATGCTAAGGAAAGGACAATGTCGATTTGGATCAACATGTAGGTTTTTCCATCCTAACATGTGCCAAACCTCACTCGAGGACAGAAAATGCTATGACCTCAGCTGCCCATACTTTCACATAAAAGGCACAGAACGCTACATAAAGAGTGGCGTGCAAGACAATAAATTTGGAGGAAACTTAATTAATTTTTATACCAAGTCGAAAGAGATTTCAGAAGGAGGAACATGGAGAATGAATGGAACTGGAGCCAGACACACTTGCATACCAGAATCACGGATACAATTACACACCAAAGAGAAACTACAACTACGACAGGCAACTGTTCAACAGCAATCAGCACTGGTCAGAACAAACTCAATATGTCCACGCATAATGGACCTGCCAGAAAAGTCTCCCAGTCAAACTATCCCAAATAGAGTAATGTCATTCATTTTTGCCAACATACAAGGACTAAAAACAAGAACAAAAAACCAAGTACAATTCATGAATAGCCTCTTCACTGAGTCAAATGCAGTATTTGGAGCTTTCACAGAAACCCATGCATGGGAATTCTTAGACAGTGAGATCTGGATACCAGGATAAAATATATATAGGTGTGATAGGGTAAATAGGTCACACGGAGGAGTGGGTCAGTATATTAGGGAAGACCTTGTATGCTCCTTAACTCTACAAATGAGGTGGTAGAGATACTAGGAGTAAAAATAAAATAAAAAATAAAATATAAAGAGATAATAAACTTAGTTATTATTTTAATATACAAACCACTAGATGCAACGGCTGAGGAATTCGCATAAGAGATAAGCAAAATAGAGCCTTGTAATTTGGGGAACCCGATATCTGATATCAGAGCCAACGAGCAATTAAAATATTCTAGATCTGGTCTTTACAAACAATTAAGACATGATCAGGGGCGATATCAGATACCACATTCTCAGACACAAGCTCGTTGATGTGCAAACAACCATCAATACTCAGACCTAAAACAATGATCAAGCGAGAGGGGTTATTCAGTAAATTCAATTTTTAATAATAAAAGGATAGACTGGGAGACAATAAACAGGGAACTTACAAACATTCCATGGGAAGCTGTTCTAAGTAATACAAATCCTACAGAAGGAATAGAAAAACTGATTTCGGAAGCATATCAAGACAGTCTGAAACATGTTCCTTTGAGG